CAAACCCAAACCCAAACCCAAACCCAAACCCAAACCCAAACCCAAACCCAAACCCAAACCCAAACCCAAACCCAAACCCAAACCCAAACCCAAACCCAAACCCAAACCCAAACCCAAACCCAAACCCAAACCCAAACCCAAACCCAAACCCAAACCCAAACCCAACCCAAACCCAACCCAACCCAAACCAAACCCAAACCCAAACCCAAACCCAAACCCAAACCCAAACCCAAACCCAAACCCAAACCCAAACCCAAACCCAAACCCAAACCCAAACCCAAACCCAAACCCAAACCCAAACCCAAACCCAACCCAACCCCAAACCCAAACCCCCAAAACCCAAACCCAAACCCAAACCCAAACCCAAACCCAAACCCAAACCCAAACCCAAACCCAAACCCCAAACCCAAACCCAAACCCAAACCCAAACCCAAACCCAAACCCAAACCCAAACCCAAACCCAAACCCAAACCCAAACCCAAACCCAAACCCAAACCCAAACCCAAACCCAAACCCAAACCCAAACCCAAACCCAAACCCAAACCCAAACCCAAACCCAAACCCAAACCCAAACCCAAACCCAAACCCAAACCCAAACCCAAACCCAAACCCAAACCCAAACCCAAAACCCAAACCCAAACCCAAACCCAAACCCAAACCCAAACCCAAACCCAAACCCAAACCCAAACCCAAACCCAAACCCAAACCCAAACCCAAACCCAAACCCAAACCCAAACCCAAACCCAAACCCAAACCCAAACCCAAACCCAAACCCAAACCCAAACCCAAACCCAAACCCAAACCCAAACCCAAACCCAAACCCAAACCCAAACCCAAACCCAAACCCAAACCCAAACCCAAACCCAAACCCAAACCCAAACCCAAACCCAAACCCAAACCCAAACCCAAACCCAAACCCAAACCCAAACCCAAACCCAAACCCAAACCCAAACCCAAACCCAAACCCAAACCCAAACCCAAACCCAAACCCAAACCCAAACCCAAACCCAAACCCAAACCCAAACCCAAACCCAAACCCAAACCCAAACCCAAACCCAAACCCAAACCCAAACCCAAACCCAAACCCAAACCCAAACCCAAACCCAAACCCAAACCCAAACCCAAACCCAAACCCAAACCCAAACCCAAACCCAAACCCAAACCCAAACCCAAACCCAAACCCAAACCCAAACCCAAACCCAAACCCAAACCCAAACCCAAACCCAAACCCAAACCCAAACCCAAACCCAAACCCAAACCCAAACCCAAACCCAAACCCAAACCCAAACCCAAACCCAAACCCAAACCCAAACCCAAACCCAAACCCAAACCCAAACCCAAACCCAAACCCAAACCCAAACCCAAACCCAAACCCAAACCCAAACCCAAACCCAAACCCAAACCCAAACCCAAACCCAAACCCAAACCCAAACCCAAACCCAAACCCAAACCCAAACCCAAACCCAAACCCAAACCCAAACCCAAACCCAAACCCAAACCCAAACCCAAACCCAAACCCAAACCCAAACCCAAACCCAAACCCAAACCCAAACCCAAACCCAAACCCAAACCCAAACCCAAACCCAAACCCAAACCCAAACCCAAACCCAAACCCAAACCCAAACCCAAACCCAAACCCAAACCCAAACCCAAACCCAAACCCAAACCCAAACCCAAACCCAAACCCAAACCCAAACCCAAACCCAAACCCAAACCCAAACCCAAACCCAAACCCAAACCCAAACCCAAACCCAAACCCAAACCCAAACCCAAACCCAAACCCAAACCCAAACCCAAACCCAAACCCAAACCCAAACCCAAACCCAAACCCAAACCCAAACCCAAACCCAAACCCAAACCCAAACCCAAACCCAAACCCAAACCCAAACCCAAACCCAAACCCAAACCCAAACCCAAACCCAAACCCAAACCCAAACCCAAACCCAAACCCAAACCCAAACCCCAAACCCAAACCCAAACCCAAACCCAAAACCCAAACCCAAACCCAAACCCAAACCCAAACCCAAACCCAAACCCAAACCCAAACCCAAACCCAAACCCAAACCCAAACCCAACAAGGCCAATGGCTTGCCTGTGACCACCGTACCCTCTCACAAAGTACAGCTTGTGACAGAAGCCATTCAAAATCTAGAAATGGCTGCACTACAAGGTGTACAAGACGCTCAACTGTATCTTGCTCATCTTTACATGCAAGGTCAGTTAGTGAAGCAAGACATGAAACAAGCCATTGCCTTGCTAACTCAGTTGGCAAAAAAAGGGAAATGTCACTGCACAATCGAATTTAGGAGCCTTTTACATGTCCGGTGTCAAAGATGTTCTTCCGAAAGATCGAGCTATAGGAGCTCAATGGCTCTCCAAAGCTGCTGCTTATGGGGACGTAAGTGCCCAATACAATTTGGGAGTCTATCATTACGAATGTAAGGAATACGAAAAATCAATGAATTGGTACATGAAAGCTGCCAATCAAGGATATTTCCATGCGGAACGATGTATGGGTCTTCTCTATTTGAAAGGAGAAGGTACAACACAAGATTATCCAAAAGCAATGGATTATCTGAAAAAAGCTACATCAAAAGGG